AGCGGCTGAGGACTCTAGATTCATCAACTAAGAAGAGAAGGACTAAGAACTGGTGGCCAGGAGCAGACTTGCAGAATGTGCCCTTTGAAGATGTGAAACTGATGATGTGCCCTGTAAACTTTCACTCAAACCACAATAAAAACATTAAAAAAAAAAAAAGACGGCAGAGTAGCCAACACACCATGGCCAGGTCCCAGGAGAAGTCCGTCCCCAGCCTCACTTTCCTTAGAAGATGTGGCCCGCCATCGTGAGCTGCTCTGTGGACTCAGTGAGGGAATGGTGCTAAGGTACCTGGGAGAGAGACCAGTTAGTTAGTGAGGCACAGTGCTTAATGCTGCTTGTTTGTCAAGTCCTTTTCTTTTTCACAAAACTTGACAATGACAAGGCGCTTAGGAGTTCCAGAGTCTCTTCTGACACACCAGCTTGTTTTCTAGAAACCCTGAGGCCTCAGTGAAGGATGCAGAAAGCTGACCACATTCCCCTGGAGCAGCAGGGAAGAGGAGAAAGAACCAGCGGCTTTGCCATCTAATCCCAGCTATGCCTCCTGCTAGCCAGTGGCCCTAAGCAAAAGAAGTAACCTCTCTGAACCTCAGTTTCCTCATCGGCAGAACGGAGACTAACAGGCAGTACCCATAAAAGGAAGTGGACAGGCAGGGAGCGTCAGGCCCAGGGCAGGGCATCAACAGCGTCTGTGCTTCTGGACAAGGTCCTTCTTGGTGTTGACCATACAGTGCAGCCAGCCCTAGCACCTGCTACTTCAGGACCCAGCTACACCCTAAGCACCAGTTATGGGTCAGGTTTGTGCTTGGAACTGCGCATTTCATGGGGACAGAGTTCCACCAGCCACAGCTAGTTTGGCTGAGAGGAGACCATAGGCGATCCAGGCAGCCCCTGGCGGAGACCTCTTCCATGAAGCCCCAAATACCCCTAGTGCACAGATACCAGGCAAGAGCAAACAACTGTCCTGAAGGCAGACTGCAGACTCCAACCTTGGACCCACAGAAGACAGCACAAAGCCTTTCTCATCTCAGGTGCTAGCAACGTGACATTGAACTCCAGAGTCCATTGCAGGACTGAAGCTCTACCACAGACTATGGGAATGGACCCACAGAAGACAGCACAGAGCCTTTCTCATCTCAGGTGCTAGCAACGTGACATTGAACTCCAGAGTCCATTTTCTCCAGAGTCCATTGCAGGACTGAAGCTGTACCGCAGACTACGGGAATGGAGCTGATCCTGAGGTCTGCTTCTGTACAGTACTTTCTAAGCCCAGGTCCTGCCCTTGGGTGTGAGGTGGGCAGGGACACCTCCAACACCACCCCCACACCCCTACCAAGCAGCACCACTTCTCCAGGATGCTAAGAAAGACACGTGGGATTCTGTTAATCCTGGGCCCTGAAACAGCTGTAGGCCCCTCACTCAATCAGAGGCAGGACAAGAGCCCACTCTGGCACTGGCCCAGGGATACCTGCACAGTATCAGGGTGGACATGGCTGTCCAGTACTGGAATCCCAGGGCTCCATGACCCTGGACTGGGCTTCCAAATGCTGCCTACCTGACCATCCCCTCCCATCTAACACACACACACACACAGACAGCACCCACCCCATCTCCCAGCAGACAGTCACATCACCTAATCCTCCTCATTCAGCTCCAACTGCTTTCACTCTCAGTATCTGCTGCTCAGAGTCCCTCCACCTTCCACTCTCCCTCCTGCCCTGACACTCGGCCTGCCAACCTACCCCTCTCCAGGGCTTGCTCAAGTCAACCCCTTGGGAAACTTTCCGGGCTTGGCCCTTCTGTCCCTTCTCACAGCATCGGCTCTTCCTTTGGACAAGAATGTTTTATGGCCTCTCCTCCAGTCACATTCCACTTAAGCCCTGAACTGCTCATATGAAGGGTCCTGTTCAGTGAGGGTCCATCTGAAGCCCTCAGTACTGGCCAGGACCATCATGTTGTTGTTGTTGTTATATACCGTGGAGTTGGTTCCGACTTATCGCGACCCTGTACAGGATTTTCGATGCTGAAATCTTTACAGGCGCAGAATGCCTCATCTTTCTCCCGCGGAACCGCTAGTAGTTTCGAACTACCAGAGCTCCTTATGACCATTATGGGGCAATGACACTTTGCTGGCAAAAGTGACCTTTGATGCCTGTGAGCTGTGTGACCTTGGATGAATTATTTAGACATTCTAGGGCAGCCTTTGGGTCCCTTATCTGTAAAATGGGGACAAAGATAGTACCAACAACGTGAGAGGAGTCACTGGATGGTAAAAAGCTAACACACTCAGGTGTAGGCTTCTAGTTAGAGACACGAAATGCCCAGAAAAGGCATGCTACCAAAAGCCTGGAGATTCGGGTCCACTCAAGACGTGCTTCAGAAGAGGCCTAGGAATCTACTTTCAAAACTCAGCTATGGTAAACATCATGGGGTGCCACAGACTCCACAGCAACTAGTTTACTCAGTAAGAATTAAATGAGACACTGGCTAGAGGTTAAGTGCCGTCGAATTGGTTTTGACTCATACTGACCCTATAAGAGGGTTTCTGAGGAGCAGCTGATGGGTTTGAAGCGCCAACTTTGCGGTTAACAGTTCAGTGTTTATCCTACAGCAAGCACTACACCATGACGCTGGCTACAGGGTTATTGCTAAGTACCGTCGAGTCTGTTCCGAGCCACAGCGACCCTGCATAGGGTTCCCAAGGAGTGGCTGGTGAGTTTGAACTACTGACCTTGTGGTTCAAACCCATCTTGCATTCCAGTGCTTTATCCCACAGCGCCACACTAGAACTCCACATATGTTAACTTGAGTGATAGGGCAGGCAATATACAACAGGAGGGAGGTTGGCAGAGGAAAGATGAAGGTAGAAGATGACACAGGAGGAATACAAGAGTCTAAGTAACTCGAGGTGAATACTGGTAACTGAAGGTACATGGAGGGGACTGCAATCATTGTAATGAAACAGCTCTGTAAGCCTTCCCTCAATAAAGAAACAAAAAAAGGATTAAAACAAGTACATTTCAAAAAATAAAAATAAATCTAAAAGAATTAAATGAGAGATTCTTATTACGTGAACACGTCACACTGGCACCTGTAAGCTGTGGCTGTTACTTGTTATGTGTCGTGGAGTCGGTTCCGACTCATAGCGACCCTGTACAGGGTTTCCGAGACTGTGAATCTTTACGGGTGCAGAAAGCCTCATCTTTCTTCCGTGGAGCAGCTGGTAGTTTCGAACTGCTGACCTTGTGGCTCGCAGCCCGATTCGTAACCACTACGCTACCAGAGCTCCTGTGTTACTTATCAGTGCTGCCCTCTTGTTGGTTATGAAGTCCTGGTGTGGTGCTGTAGGATAAGCACTCGACTATTGTTGTTAGGCCCCACTGAGTTGGTAGCGACCCATAGTAACCTTATGCACAGCAGAACACTGCTGAACCAAACACTGCCTGATCCTGGGCCAACCTCACTACTGTTGCCACACTTGAGTCCATCATGCTGCCCTTGGCTAATCCATCTCGTTGGGGGTCTTCTACCTTACCAAACATGATATCCTTCTCCAGCGAATGCTCCTCCTGACAGTGGTTCAAACTCACCAGTCACCCCATGGAAACCCTATACAGGGTCGCTATGGGTCAGAAGTGACTTCGATAGCACTTAACAACAACATTGTTAGTTCTGAAGTCCTGGTGTGGTGCCGTAGCATAAGCACTAGACCACAAGCTCAGTTCAAACTCATCAGCCACTCCTGGGAAACCCTATACAGGATCGCTATGAGTCTGACTGACTCATAGCACGTTAACAACAACACTGTTAGTTATGAAGGGTCTATAAGCATTCGACTGCTAACCGAGAAGTCAGTGGTTCAAATCCACCAGCTATTCCTTGACCACCTGGGTGAGAATCATTTTGGGATATACAGCTATCTACAAATATATACATGGAGCTCTGTTAGCATAGTGGTTACGAATCAGGCTGCAAACCTTAAAGTCAGCAATTCGAAACTATCAGCTGCTCCGCGGCAGAAAGATGAGGCTTTCTGCACCAGTAAAGATTTACAGCCTCGGAAACACTGTACAGGATCGCTATGAGTCAGAACCGACTCGACGGCACATAATAACAACATATACAACCCACTGCTATCAAGATTCCGACTCCCAGCGACCCTAAAGGGCGGAATAGAGCCGCCCCACAGGGTTTTCTGCAGCGCAGCAGGATAAGCACTGGGCTGATGACGCACAAGCTCAGCAGTTCAAACCCACCAGCCGTTCTCGGAAGAATCTTTATGAAAGCCGCTTGCCACGTCTTTCTCTCTCTGAGTGAATGGTGGGTTCCAACCGCCGACCTTCCAGATAGCAGTCCAACACCTAACCCACGGCGCCTGCAGGGAGAGGGCTTAAGAATTTGTATTTTAAAGGCTCAACCTGGGAAGGTTCTAGGAACTAATGGTAAAAATGCTCAGTTATCGGTGTCCTTGGACCTGGTTCGAGTCTCAGTTCTGCCACTGCCTTGGGAAATTCTCGGAGCCCTTCTCGTAACTTTGTTATGGGAGTCACAGTAGAGAGGCTCCACTCTGCAGACCTGGGCGCCCAGACGCCTCAGCTTTAGGTGCCCGCAGCTGCTAGCTCACAGATGTTAGCTCACGTAGGCGACCCCCTCGGCTGGGTACTTCCCGGCCAGCAATGTCCCGCCCGACCTCCTGCATGCGACGCAAAGCGGCGCAGTCACCCCCGGGCAGATCGCAAGAGGCACCCCAAGTCCCGCTTCCCCGCGCGACGCAGGAGGTTCCGGGACTCACCGCCTCCCGCCCCGGTCCCACAACAGCCTCACTCCCACGGGAAGCGCCTCACCATGGCGGCCACTCTGCCACAGGATGGGAGACCAGCTCCGACGTCTCTGGGCCCGCGGCCCCGGCTCAAGGGCGGCC